CTCTCTCTCTCTCTCTCTCTCTTTCTCTCCTGTCCATAGACCAGAATTTAGCACTCAACCACTTCTCCAGCACCATGACTGCCATGCCTGCTGTCACATTCCCCACAATGTTGATAATGGACTAAGCCTCTGAAACTGTAAGCCAGCCTCAATAAAATGTTTCTTTTATAAGAGTCCTTTGTCCTGGTGTCTCTTCATAGCAGTGGGACAGTGACTAAGATATCAGTGGTATTTCTCCAGACTCATACTGAAGCCTGTTCCTTCATCTGTTCCATTTGGAGGCCAGCAATGAACAGCCATTTTTCACATGGGGCACCTCTCCTTAGAGAGTCCATCAAACACTGAGAAGGATGATCTAAATCTCTGGCTCTTCCTTCCTCCAGACCTTGTGAATTTCTTGCCATCTTCCATCATATCTCTTCTTTCCCCAGGGGCTGGTCTGCTTGCAGCATACTGCTCATGACTGTTGTAAACAATTCTATATGTTACACGTGATTTTTTTTCTTCTCTGCTAGTGATAATTAATATTCTTCCCCATCACTCTTGTTATTTAGGATATATGTTCATGGTGTATGTGGTGGGGGGCAGGTACATGTGTCCTGTCATATCCAGAAGTCAATAACAAATGTCTCTGTCTTTCTCTATCTTATTTTTTAGTACAGGGTCTCTTGCTAAACCTGGAACTCACTGATTTGGCTAGACTGGTAGACCAGTGAGCCCTAAAGTCAGCCTGTTTCTGCCTCCCCAGTTCTGGGATTACACGCAGGCACTGCCATGCCCATTTTTTACCTAGATGCTGGGGATGCAACCAACCTCAGGTCGCCACACTTTTATGGCAGCAACTTTGCTAATTGAGCTACCTCCCCAGGCCCAATCCAGGCACTTATCTCTTGCATATCCCTCCACTGAAGAGCAAATATGGAGACAAAGTGTAGGACAGAAACAGAAGCAGGGATCGTCTAGAAACTGCTCCACCTCGGTATCCATCCCATGTGCAGTCACCAAAGGTACACACTGATATGGATGCCAAGAAGTGCATGCTGACAGGAGCCTGATATAGCTGTCTCCTTACAGGTCTGCCAGAGCCTGACAAATACAGAGGCGGATGTTCACAACTAACCATTGAACTGATCATGGGGTTCCTAATGGAGGAGTTAGAGAGAAGACTTAAGGAGATGAAGGGATTTGTGGCCCCATGGGGAGAGTAACAATACCAACCAACCAGAGCTCCCAGGGTCTAAACCACCAGCCTGGGAGCACATAGGGAGGGACCCATGACTCCAGCTGTATATGTAGGGGAGGATGACATTGTCAGGCATAGATGGGAGAGACGATTCTTGGTCCTATGAAGGCTGGATGCCAAGTGTGGAGGAATTCGAGGGTGGGGAGGTGGGAGTTGGGGGGTGAGTGCACATCCTCATAGAAGCAGGAGGAGGGGGT